ATTGCAGTCTGATGTTTTCTTGGCATCCTGATAGGCGCCAAAGCAATTCTTATTGGCTTCCGGTGAGTCCAATTAACGAATCCCTTATATTCACCTCTTCAAATTAAATGAAATATACACATTATCTATTAAGGCGTTCATTGAAACCATGCTCTTCCTCATAATCGTGATGAGCTTTCTCTTGCTTCAACCTGGCCTTACTTCCAAGATAAAGCTTTAGTAGATGTAAGGGAATTATCCTTAGCCCTCCGGAGATTCCGACCTAAGGATCTGTGTACCATACATTTCCACATGAAAGTATAGGCATAACAATAAATATATATTCATACCTTCGAATAAATATTTGTGCTGTTGATGTGCCTAAAGTAAACTGTTGCCTTGCAGCTCATATATTCGCCGTGATCCTTTAGCTCTGGGACCATGTATAACCTATTACTAGCCTAACTTAATCCATTTGCCTTGGTTTAAAATCCCTCTCGGGACGCCTGCAGTTCATCATATGTTGACTTGAACCTTTTTGATTTAAGCTTTTGTTTGTAATCAACGAAAGCAAGACTCATTATTTGTGGTTAAACTAATTATGAAATCTGAAGCAATATAAAAACAGCATTGTATTTTAACGTAATATTCCACAATCACTCAAGTCTCAGCAAAAGCATATCATTTTGTATATATAGTTTAAGCGGTTAGATTTTTTTATATTTTCATCTTACTTGCCAAAAGCATTTCATCAATGCGCCCCAGATGGCCCCTTGTCGCTTAAACGCACTTCGCTCATCTGCCAGTGTTCATCAAATCACCCTATATTAAATGACGGTCCTACCATTCTCCCCTCCCTGGACGCGTCTGTGGACGACTCGGCGTCTGCCATTAGTCACGGGGCATCTGAGGACGCTCATGTGCCACAGATTCACCTTCATAGCTCAAAAGACTCATTCGTTTATCCAACAAAACCTCCTCTCTTGCCAAGTAATGCTTGTCCTCCGTCGATCCCTTTATTCAATACACCATCCGATCTGCCGCCTAGCCCTTCTTCGGGTACACGTTCGGACCGCTGGCAGATTTTCGGTCGGCTCTTCCGTCGCCAGCAGCCTTAGCCTCCGAGTTTTTCATCCTACCCAGCTTCCTCTTTGCTT